CTCTTTCCTGGAACTTCTCATCTCCTCCAAGTGTATTTTCTAGCTGTGGAAGTAAAAAGCTTGTCAAACAGAGGCAGGCTGAGGTAAACCCAGCCAAAAGCACTGCTGCTAGCTCTGGCTTTCAGGGACGCAAGAGTTACGTTCAAGAGCACGTGGGAATGTCTGGGAGAGCTCAGAAACGTGCGCGAACCTTACGGAATGAAGATGTTTAGAAAAAGAAGAAAGAAAGGAGTAATTCAGACCCTTAGGCAAAGCAGTTTATACTGTCTATAGCCCAAAGACAGTGAATTAATTCCTCCCTTTTTGTTAAAGGAGAGGATTGAGCCCAGATAATTAAGGTAAATCTCTCAGATGGGGAAAAATTCCAAACCAGCTACGAACTGGGGTCTTTTTGTGTTTCTCAATACCTGATCGACCAGAGGCATCATCAAGGTTTCTGCTCTTTCCTTACTCAGGAACTTCTGGGTGTCAAACAGGAAGAGCTTGTGCAGACAGTCCATGGTGAACTGCAACAGTAGACAGCTCTTTTCTGTGCTGTTCTCAGAGTCAAAGAAAGCTTCTTCTACATAACAGTCAAGGAGGGGGGAAAAAGAAATCATCAAAAAAAAAGAAAATATCAAACTTCCCCACAAGACAGCAACATGATTTGTCTATGAGTAGAGCTAAAGGATGTACTACACAGCGACTGATGTACGCGTTGCTCAGAACAAGAAAGTGGATGTATGACGTCATCTGGCTTTTTGCTCATGCCTCAGCAGGTCTGCCACTGCTGTTCACAGTCAGCTGGGGATAAAAGAGAACAGCCACAGGCTCCAGGAAAAGTGCCAGGCCATACCTGTGTATGTGGGGAGTTTCTTCAGGCCACTCCAAATGGGATGGGCAAACAACTCCCCACATCAAAAAGTAACTTTTGCCAAGAAAGCAGAGGAGTCGGAATACACCAGGTGGCATATGAGAGAAGTCAACGAATGGGAAAAATAAAAAAACCCAAACAGAACCAAGTCACCCTCTTTCCACACAATTTAATTTTCATGGAACTCAGTGGGACTGACTGGAATTTTTCACATGGTTTTTGATTTCTCACTGGCAGCCTAGAGCCCATGCACAAAAAATGTCCTTTGGTTCCAGCAGAATACGAAAGATGCCTTATTTATCAGGAAGGAAAAGGACATGCTGTGAAGTAAATCCTGCACAATTAAACATTCAGCAATGACGGGTGAGCCTGCCACTGCCGCTCTGTCGTTAGTAACTGAACCCTTACCGGTTTTAGAAATGTTGACCTGGTTCAGTGTCTCAGCAAATGGCTTCACTAAGTGACCAGCAAACAGGGTGAAGAGACCCTTGAGCTTGTCTGCGATGCAATCTGCTATTCGGTGGAATGTCAGCAGTCTGTCTTTTAGGGTAGACTCTGTTTTGGACCAGTCAAAGAGCTGAAAGTGAAAGGCAGATTAGCGCTTTCCTGTGTCTGTGAACTGGAAAATA